CTCCTGGATCCCTCCCACAGTCTTTCTGTATATAAGATCCATTAAGGGGCTCAGATTCTTATAATCTAGCCAATAGCTCACTAATGTTCAGATTCCTTAATGTCTGGTCAATATGACAATATTCTAATAAACTTTGTCTTTGGCTGAAAGAAGGCTTGGGTCGAATTCATTCGGGCAGCACCTGCATATTGTGATTTTGGGATCCTAGCACCCCTAACCCCTAAACCTCAACATTTCCAAAGCTGTTCCTTCTAAATCGCAAAATTTGTGGTTCTGTGAAGTCACAGGCTAGCTGATGTGCATTGATGAAACTGCAAAATCTCTACCAACCCTCCTCCCCACCAAACAACAAAAACCCAAAAGAAAAAGAAAAGAAAAACTGAATATATTAGAGACAGCTTCACAAATAGATAGAAGGCTGAGTTCTAAAATGAAGGGCTGAATTATTCTCCCATCTCTGATACTTAATAGTCATTCAGTGTTAGGCCACTTCACCACTCGCAGCTTCAAGAAACTCACTGGGTCACATTTACTGTCATAGAAAAACTGTAATCAGTTATAAGGTAGTATTTAAATTTGTCTTTCCAAATTTGTGTCCTAGAACATAATCAAATGTTGTGAATGTTCTGTTTCTCTCAAAGTATAAGCCTTACTTTTGCTGTTCAAATCTTTATACACTAATCAAATCTATTTCTGTTCCACTTTACTCTGCAAAATCTTTCTTATCCTTCTGTTGATCTTATTCTGTTAGAAAAAGAAAAATGAGGGGGCAGCTAGGTGGCACAGTGGATAGCGTGCCAGCTCTGGAGTCAGGAGAACTTGAGTTCAATTCCAGCCTCAGACACACAACGTTCACTAGCTGTGTGATTCTGGGCAAGTCACTTAATCCCAATTGCCTCATATAAAAACAAAACAAAACAAAACAAAACAAAATGAAAAGAAAAAGAAAAATGGAAGTGATATGGATACAGCATATGGCACCCTAGGGGTTAAGGAGAATATTAAGGGTTACTTTTCCAATACATTGTGAGGTCCCTCCTAGGGGAGAGAAGGGGGGGCTCATCCTGTAACTTGAGAACATCCTAAAGTCCTTTTCTCCTTATTTTGAAACACCATAAAATTAAATCCTTATCCTATAACACAACATTCTTCCTTATCTTGAACCACCATAAAACACATCCTCATCTGGAACATCTGCAGGCTGTATAGAATTTTGCTATATAAGTCTAGCTACCCCTAAATATCAGTTGCCTCACTTAGCCCTGTTGCTATTGGCCCATATGCTTTAAGAGTCAGTAAAGCTCCCACTGACTATGAGAATATCTAAGTGAATTCTGAATCAGATTTCACCAGAAGATTTCAACATTCCATTAACTTCTCAACCCTTTCTGTCACTAAAACCCTCTCCTATTGCTTTGTTGTACCAGTTAGAGTAGATCACAAGAAGCATGATCATCATTATGGATTAGAACAAAAAAAGTTACGTGTGAAATAATAAAGATTTTAGCAGCAAAAAAAAGTTACTGGTGTATCACATTTATCTGTATAACTGTCCTTCTCTTTTAAATTGTAAGCTCATTTTGAGGAGAGCTGTGTAGTTCATATCTTCTTAGTAACCCCGGCACCTAGTATAGCGCTTTGAACACAGTAGACTTTTCAAATTAGTTGAAATGAATTGAATCTTTATGACCCCATCTACTTTTGTAACTTCGGCCACGTCAGTTGCTGCTATTTTCAAAGTTCAAATTATGGAAAAACCATTACTAAAATCTATGAAGCTCCAAACTAGCCTTGCTCAGAATTGATATGGAAAGATGTAGTACCTATAAGGCAGGAGAATCCTTAGCACAAGACTAATAGAGAACTTGTGGGTGCACAGACCATGATTTTGTGAGAGAGGATTACATGAACCTCCTGAAATAGCAGTGGTGAATATGGTGTTCATTCCAGTTTTCATTTTGATGAGTCCTTGCCAAGAAGGGTAAATAACCATTCTGATCATATGCAAAAAAATCTGTAAGTAACCACTGTAATTACTCAATAAAAATGATCACACAAAAAATCTATGCTTTGGAAAAATAAGGCATCAAAGTTTGGTAGACAGTTTATAGTAGTTGTCATGAAAACTCGTTTAAAATGGTTGTATTAAAACTATCTATAGTCACACGAAAAAATGCTTTAAATCACTCTTGATTTGAGAAATGCAAATTAAAATAACTCTTAACCACCTGACACCTATCGGATTGGCTAATACAACAGAAAAGGAAAATGATAAATGTTGGAGAGGATATGGAAAAACTGGGATACTAATGCATTGTTGGTGAAGTTGTGAACTGATCCAACCATTCTGGAGAGCAATTGGGAACTATGCCCAAAGGGCAACCAAACTGTGCATACCCTTTGATCCCACTATACCACTGCTAGGTCTTTATTCCAAAGACATCAAAAGGGAAAGGACCAATTTGTACAAAAATATTTATAGCAGCTCTTTTTGTGATGACTATGAATTGGAAACTGAAGGGTTGCCCACCAATTGGGGAATGGCTAAACAAGCTGTGGTATATAAATGTAACAGAACACTATTGTGCTATAAGAAATTACAAGCAGGATGATTTCAGAAAAACCTGAAAAGACTTACATGAACTGATGCAAAGTGAGCAGAACCAGGAGAATGTTATACAGTAACAACAATGTTGTTTGATGAATAACTGTGAATGAGTTGGCTCTTCTCAGCAATACGATGATCCAAGACAATCCCAAAGGACTGAAACTGTCTGAATACAGCCTGAAGCATGCTATTTTTCTCTTTCCTTTTTTTTAAGAGTCTTCTTGTACAAAATGATTAATATGGAAATGTTTTACATGATTGTGTATGTATAACCTACATCTGACTGCTTACAGGCTCAGGGATGGGAGAGGGGAGAAAGGGAGGGTTAACAAATTTGGAACTCAAAACTTTTTAAAAAATGTTAACAATTATTTTAACACGTATTTGGGCAAAAGATAAAATGTTATATATTTAAAATGGTTGCATCCTAGTTTTGCCTTAAAAAACTCCAAACTCAAACTGGGACTGAGGGCCTCATTTAAAAGCTTAAAATGCTGTGTTGATGCTGGAACACACAGAAGGAATATTAGCACATGGAATTTCCCTTAGAAATAATAATTTTTCCAAATTGTTCTCACTCTCACATTTCCGGGGCCTGTGCAAGGGATTTGGAACTGGTTAGCTTGGAATATTAAATAGTTTTATATCCTGGAAAGAGGGGGAGAAATGTGAGGAGTGACAATATATTTCAAAGCATGTCTGGGCTCAGTAGGGACAGGACAGTAAGTCTGAAGAAAAGCCATTGAATGCTTTTTTTTAAAAATACTTTGTAGGTTAGGTGTTAGTCAAAAAGGAAAGTAAACGTTTATTAAATGCCTACTGTGCCAGACTGTACAAGGTGCTGAGGATACAAAGACAAAAAAATTAAACAATTTCTGCCCACAGGGAGCTTATATTCTATACTACTGTCCCTGAAGTGTGCAAAATGCTCACACTGCAATCACATCAGATCAATTTTTTTTTTGAAAGGATGAGTGCATAGATAGGAAGGGTAAGGAGAGATGATGTATCTTTAATAATTATTAAACATGTTTGGCTACTGTACTGTAAATTCCTTTCACTTGCCACTTCAAAAGAATAGAAATGCAATAGTGATGCCACAGTGGTAAAGAACATAAGCCTTGAGGCTGACCCAAGAAGGGAGAGTTCTATCAATTCTAGTTCAAAGATTTCTGAACTCCATCTCCTGTCCCTTTTCACTCCCACTGCAGTTTCCCTAGATCATACCTTCCTTATCTCCCAGTTAGACAATCAAGAATATTTGAGGCTTAAAATCTTCAGCCTTGAACTTTTCATCATTATTCTCATCTGATGCTACTCAAGGGTCAAACCAAAAGTAACATAAGTCAAGCAATTTCTCCCATGTGACTTGGTTTTCCCCTTTCAGAACACAAAGGCATTGCCCTTTATTGAGAGCTTTATTGAGAGGATGGTTCCAACTCAAGACTGATTCTCCTAGGACTCATACCTAGACATGAAACTCAGAGGAAAGAAGCTGCTTTCTTTCCTTTTCCTTAAGAAACATCGTTCTCTAGGAAGAAAAGCAGAATGTCACTGTCAGACCAGGAAGGGACCTTTTTGTACAATAATTTTGTACAATGTTCCTATTTCAGATAAGGAAACTAAAGCCTGCCTGGAGAGGGTATGTGACTTACTCAGAGCCAGTGAGTACCAATGCTGGACTTGGAAATCAGGCCTCCAGACTACCATGATTCCTTCTATTAGATGCCATGCTGTTCTGCTGTACTTTGTTTCCCAGAGTTATGCCTGAACAACGAATTTAATGATTACATAAAGTTTATTTAAAACTTATTTAAGCTTTTATGTTGAAAAGGGAAACTTCCCTTTACATATAGCAGGTGTCTAATGGTTGCTGAATTGAAATTATTCTGTTCTATACTGGAAATATTTCTCCAAGAATTGTTACTTTAAAAGCAGGTAGAGATATATATATTAAAAAAATAGCTATTTTATTCACTGTCGCCAGGATTCAAAGGAACTTGGGGACTACAAAACCAGTCTAAAAGGACATCTGCCTCTAATACTAATTCTCTCAGGACACTATGGGGTCTCTGTAGCAGTTCTAATGTCTATTTTCTTAGTACCATATTGCTCTCTGGAAGCCTAAGGAACAACAAGAAGTTAATGGTTTCGCCTGCCTAAACCTGGTTTGGATTTTTGTTTTCTTAGAATCACTATTTTATTGGGGGTAGTATTTGTATATTCCACAAAAATATCATGAGGGAAATGTAGAAAACCAGGTACTGTCCTTTTAAATCAACTCTTTGTTGGGATAAAATACAACCCGTGTATGCCCTAAAAGACAGCACAAATTGAAAAGCACATTAATATTTAGCAACATTTGTTGAGAGATCCAAGTTGCACAGCACTGATTTTAGAAAAGGATTTTATTTCGTGCAAGTCTACAATTGCCTATATTTTAACAGTTGATCAAATATACATTCTTGTAAAAAACTGTTACATCACCAATAATTTAACATAGTACAGGAAAAAAAAACTGATTTTATTGTATGCCATAACCAAAATGGAAGGCTATTATGCAGAGATAAGGCAAAAGATTGCTACTCTGCTGAGAAACAGCACTAATACAGTCTTTTCTAAATACAAATCGAATATACACTAAAGTTTTACAGCACAGAAATTACACAAATAGGTAAAACTTCCAACCAACAAATTTTCAGATCATATGAAACTAGTAAAATAAAAGAAGTATCAGGCGAGAGATAGTCTGTCACTGAATTTTATGTAGTAATTAATAGCTGACTGAAGATAACATTGGCATTGTGCACACAAATCATAGCTAACCTACTGACAAATTATGTGCTCAGACACATCTGTTAATTTACAGATTGGAAGGAATAAACTAATAGTTTATTTGATTTTCATATGTTCAAATTAAAATACAAAAAGTAAAACCAACATAGTTCATTCAAGACGTTAGATTCCCAGCATATTTTGGTAAACCTAAAAAAGGACTGAAGAATGGAGGGAGTCTCTTAATTTACTACAACTGATAGGCTAGAGGTACAATTAACAATGGCAGAACACTGCTGTGGGGAAGGAGTCAAATGATTTCAAAATCTCATTTGAAAACAACAAAATACTGTTATTTACAAAAATGGAATAGAACAATTAAATGCTAGAAATAAAAGCATCAATGTGAGAGCACTTTTGTCATTATATAATTTATAAGTGTAAATCTGACTGCAGGAAATTAAAAGGCAACTCTATACATCCCCAGCCTTCAAATGTGCAGCATTTTGCTTGTACTTTTCAAACCAGAAAAATCCTTATTTCCATACCACTTTTCAATGTGGTCAGAAGCAAATCCATTGTTTCACTGAGAAATAATCACCATAAAAACCTAAACCTAACATGCTAAATGTCAAAGACATTGGATAGTGTCATACTGATAAATATGGAACGTTAGGTGGCCACAGTGAGAAGAACACCACCACAATTAACTCGTGCTGCACAATAACTTCCAAAAATGCTCAGTCCTGCAAAAGTAAAGCACTTCTAAACACATGCAAAAAATATGATCAAGTTCTACTTTACTGGATCATTGCATAAAAGAGAATTTTCAAGATAAATATATTAACTATTTAACCTAAGAATTTTACTGAAAATAAAATATACTCTTTTAGAATGAGAGAGAAAACATGGCAGTGTTCCTTATTTTCCTTTTTATTAATAAACCAGACATGCCTGAAAATAAAATAAAAATCATACTGATATCTAAATTAACAAATTCTCTGGGAACAGAGCTTTTTGAGCATGGAATGAGTTATGGGAAAGTTTAAGCCTCTTCAGCACTGGCTCCCTGGGGGCACTGGAATAATCTCAGGTGTCAACCACTCAAGGAAAGACCAGTATCCAGATACTTCTGAAGAAAGGGTCCCGAGACCTACATCCAGAAAGCATGGAGGAGCCACCCTGTCTTTGGTGTATTATGGTCTATCAGTTGGCCAGAGACAGTTTCAAGAGAGGCAGAATTACTCTTCATTCTGGGCATCAGTGGAAGAGTGACCAGTTGCAGACAGGGAATCTGGACCCTGAAATGTGTTTTCCTATATCACAGATGTTTTTATTTTTGGTAATGACATTTCTGATTAAGAAGAGAATATCATTAGAAAGCATTCTTTTTGCAAATAGAAGCATTATTACTGTAACTAAAAGGCTCAAAATTATCATCCAAATATTACCATTTTCTTTATTTGTAAGCCAAGCATTTTTGTTCAAATAATATAGTTTAACAATCATATTTTATGGTAGTAACCTAGTGGCCTGAAGAAATCCACATTAAAGTGCCTAAATAACATTCAGTTTTGTCATGTAGCACAATGTCATCCAATAGTGTAATGTACCTTTTCTATTTCAAATAGTGGAACTGGAAGCCAGAACCCAGCTCTTTCTATAATCTTCAATGTTCTGAACATAATTTCTAAAACAATCATCTCTAAGTAAGCAGGACAAAGATAATATAAAGATTTAAAAAAAAAATACTAGCAGTACAGTTTTAAAAAATGATGTTGTAGGGTAAGCCTCAGAAAACCAAATCACCTCTTAACATCTGAGGTTTAATAAAATATAATCTATTACTATGATTATCATTTAAGTGGGATTTAGGGATTCAAGTTTATGAAGACCTCTTACATTCTGATAGGGAGGCTGAAGAACAGCTTTTTGCCAATTTTTGCTCCTATAACTACTTTCTGAATCTGAGGCATAATCAAATAAAAATCAGAAACTATTTAACAGTCTGAATTACATTATAGTAGAGTGGTTTTAAAAAAATATTTTCTTCTATATATTAACTTTTCAAGAACTTCCCATTATGGTGCAATAAAACAAGGAAGATCACACGTGACTCAGATTTTGGTACTGACAATTTGACCAAATGTACCAAATTACATATAATCCTAATATTTATTATTATCAGCATTTAATTCTATGCTCTATATTTCTTAATTTTCCTAACTAAAATGGGAAATTCTTTGTCAAAGGCAACCCTTGAAAAGCTTAATTTAGCTCTGATTAATCACTGTTGTTTATTAAGTGCCTTTTTGTATACCAGTAGTAGGAGAGGAGAGGAGGTATTCATTTGGTAATGGAATTCCAAGTCAAGATTAGGAATAGGTCTCCATAGAACCAAAATAAAGATCTTCTAGTACTACCACTCTGATTTAAAGCTAATGAAACAGAGGCTGAGAAAGGGAAGTCAATAAACAAGCATTGATTATGACTCAGGTGACTTGCTCAGTGTCATACAGCTAGTTAGCTGGCAGAACTGGGACTAGGTCTGGAAGTGTTCTTTGTGCAACACCACACTGTCTCCTCTTTGTCTTTAAGGTTTCACAGTGATGCTCCTTTGACCACAGATATTAGAAAATACAATGTAGTGTGTGTGGGGGTGGTGGTGGGAGAACCAAAACCCCATTTTTTTTCCCCTTTGTCTCTGTCTACACTGCCATTTGGAGTTCATGAGAAAACCTGAAAAGAAATACCACTACATTTAAGGGAAAATTTCCAAAGTAAAGCCACATGATAGAAAACATTAGCAATAATAACCAAGTTATTTTCACATAGATGGAAAAAAAAAACCACATTATATCTACAGGTCTTGCCAGAGAGGTGTGTCAGTTTCTACACAAGAATAAGGAAACAAGAGAGTCCATTTCGTGAAGAACATTTTTTCTACCCAATACTTTCAAGTATAACTTATAAGGATGATGATGATGATAAAAGGACAGCTACAGTTCTTTGACTTGAAGTATTATAAATGTTAATCTAATATCCTCACATTATCCTTGCGAGGTAGGTAGATACATAGAAATATCTTCATTATGTAAAATGAAGAAACCGAGGCACTGAGAGGTTACAACTTGCCCAAGGAAAATCCATGGTGGCACTACATTCAGTACCAAAGCATCATTATTTCCTGCTTACCGCTCTAGGACCAACCACACTTTGCAAAGGGAAGAATGTGACTCAAAAAAAGAGTACCCCCTAAAACTACTTCAATATAGTATGGCACACCTTCCCATTATTATTTAGTCTGAATGTACTCAATTTCACTCTTTTTAGAAACTGACTAAAAATAACTAGATAACAGGGTTAACCATAATCCTTTGAGTACTTACATCATACTAAATTTATAAAATTACATAATACTAATTTTTTTAAAATTAAGCTTTTTTGAAATATGACTTGGGCAAAGTTCACTTTTCTAAAAATATATAACCTACTAAATTGTGTAAGGAGTGGAAAATATTTCAAGGATTTCACTCATTCATATTCACTTTGCAAAATAAAGATGGTGACTTAAAAACTAACACAACTTTGGCTTAAACACGAAACCAAAACAATTTTTTTTAAATGAGCATATTTACCCAATAAATTATTTACAATCTATTTTGGTTTGATACATTTTATAAACCACAATGTAAGTCCTAATCTACAGCATCTTTTGTATTAGTTTTTTTTTCTTTGAATGGAAAGAGCATGTGTCTTTTGTAAAAGCTTTACTGGTTACACAGGCACATGTTAAAATCTCGGATCTCTTTTTCATGTTCTTTGGATATCAAAAATAGTTGCCATTAACGCACATACTTTTCCTTGAACAGAAGGCTCAGGAGTTAAGAATACAAAAAAGCACTGAATTGGAAAATTTAAACTCATCTCCATCAAATTAAAACTGTACAAAAAAAAAATACAAAGATTTCCAGCTACTATCAAAAACTTAAAAAGGAAAGACCACTTGATTATCACACATGCAAAAAAAGTACTAATGTTGCCAATTAAAATAATTATACATGCAAAACACATTTATTTGCATATAAAGTTAAAGCAGATTACTGTGCTCTTGTGAATCATGGATAAGCCTTATGTTCTAAGATATGAGGTCTGTGAATATAATCACCATTTGATTTCTCCATTCAATTATCTATCCTTGAAAAATGCTGACAAAATATCTTCTTTTTAAATAACAAAATATATGCTACAAATGACAAGAAGAACTGTAGTGTTCTACAGATGTGTTACATATTACTTATTATTTTTAAACTACCTTTCAGAGAAAAAGATTCATTTCAACCAACCTGAAACACACAAATGTTTTTGCATGGACTGATTTTTAATATGAATTAAATGGACATTCCCATTATCCACTGAGAACACATTAAAAAGTTGCATCATATGTAATAAATCCTGTGAGAATATGGTACTCTACTACTTGATGAGAAATAAATTATTATACAAGCTGTAAGTTCTGTATTATTTTTTAACCCTAACTTGACTTTTTTTCTTCCACAATAGAAAGCAAGTTCTGAGGGCACACCAATGTTACAAATACTTTACAACATGAAAAACAACTTGGACATGCAGACTTCTAACAGTTAATCGTCTCCTAAATATTTTCAAGCTTTAGACGTCATCAAATATTTTGCTTCGAGACATTGATAGATATCTTCCACCAGGCTGATACCTAAAAAAAGAACATAAAAGAGTTAACTGAAAGGTTTTATGAAGTCAGGTTTGAAAAAAAAAATAATCAAGTTAATATAAACAGGAAGGAGTGCTATAATTTAACACTCACTATAATACATTATGCAAATTATTTGCTTCTGGAAATTGGTGACACTGGCTTCACTGTTCTTCACAGATGACAATCTATCTCCAGACTGCATTTTCATTGGCTTATTCTCCATATGTGGTATGCTTTCCTATATCATCTCTGCCTCCAGGATCCTCTGTCTTTGCTCAAGTCTCACACTGAGTTTTACTCGGCTCAAAGCCTTTCCAACTCTTCCTTAATCTTCCTGCCTTCCCTCTGAGGTTACCCGCCACCCACCCCCCATTTATCGTGAATATAGCCTGTTTGTACAGGGTTGTTTTCTATCAGAAAAAGGTCATCTTCACGGCACCTTCTTTCTGATTGTCAGAAGCCTATATCTTTAAATTAATATCTGGTACAACAGACTATCAGCATATATATTTTGCTAAAATTAATTTTCTCCCTCACTCCTGGCCAATAAAACAAAATTAAGAATTAAGAATTTCAGAGAATGACAATCACTATTAATGATAACAATTAGAAGCAAGGCTCAGAATGTGACCCACCAACCTTAAAGAAAAGATTAAGAAAATATGAATGGACACAACTCTGCAATCCACCAGGGACAAATGGTCACTACACTGGACCTCTTTTGTACACAGGACGCTTGTGTGTACCTACAACGGGGAGGCTGATACCATGCTTCACGACAGGCACCTCTTTCTTCAGCAGAGGTAAAAGCAGTGGAAGAAAGGTATGGCAGAGCTTGCAAACACAAGCCATCCTTACACCTCTATATGCTAGTTCCTTATAAGACACCAACTTAGCGGTGCTAACAAATCAGAAGGAAGGTGCAATAAAGATGACCTTTTTCTGATAGGTCAGAAAAATGCTGCTTCACCCTACATTATTTCACCTAAAATTAGCCTTGCTATTCTGTCTGAGACATATTATAGCAAGGTACACACAATTCACTTTACCTTTGGGAGAAGATAAAATGCAAGCTGACATAAGGGACTTTTTGAAGAAAACAAGGGCCACAAATGTGTCTGTCTTTCTCTCTGTCACACACACACACAAACACACATACACACACACACACACACACACACACACACACACACACACACACACACACTCTCTCTTTCCATCTACCATCTCAATCTAGAGCACGTCACAATAACTCAGGGTTACAGGATAGGGGTGGGGAACCCGCGGCCTTGAGGCCACATGTGGCCTTCTAGGTTCTTGGATGCAGCATTCTGATTGAGTCCAAGGGCCAAACTTGAGGATCTAGAGGGTCACAAGTGGCCTTGAGACGCAGGTTCCTCACCCCTATAAGAGAACCCTTCTCAGTGAAAAAGTGCTTATTACATTGTTTCTGCTGTTTAATAAGGTAGACATGTACACAGTACATTTTCAAAGCATGTTTCTTGAACGAACAAAAGGTGGAATAAATCCAGATCTTTGCAGTGGCTCTGAGTGAGTGCCTTTTTTACTTTATAGATCATTTGATAAAAAGCAATTACTAAAGTATTCATTCCACTACCAAAAATCCATTTTAAAAAGGAAACAAAACTCATCTTTATTTTCTGTTAAATCCACACAAAATAAACTTTCTGTGACAAGGGTAAAGAATAGACACAAAAACTTCTCAATGTCTTTATTTACAAAACAGTAAAATTGGGTCAAATTTGTAGCAATTTAAATTTGCATAGATTCAAAACCTATTTCTGTTCGATTCACAGGTAACATTTCAAAAATAATTTTTAAAGTAGTAGTTATTAAGTAGATACTCAATAGTTTAATTGATTACTCACAAAATAGAACTATTTTTGGGATACTGTAGAAAATCCAATTAAGTCAATCGAGTTAAGTCAGAAGGTTAATAAAACCCTTTGAAGTGGGTGAATACTACAGCCAAAAGACAGGAGCACACTCACCTTCCTGATTCAGATTCAAGAGGATCATCAGTGAACGTTTCTGCATTAAAATCAAGAGGTTCTGCATCCTGAAGTAATTCAATTCTATCTCTTTCAGTCCGATTATTAGATCTTGTATACTTAGATACTGCTATAAAAGGAAGTAAAGAGGGAAAAAAATTCACATTATTATTTCTTTTATTTGTGGATAACAGTCCCCTAGCATGAGGACAGAGTGGAGTCTAAGTTACAATGGGCTTAAATTTTGCATCTAAAAACAATACAGTAACAGAAAAAAAAAATAATACAATAGCATAGCACCTTAAAACCAGAATAAGACTATAAGTAAGGCAACTTAATAATTTCAGGGCCAAGATTTCATTTAACAGAGTATTTCTTCTTTTGATTCCCTACCGAGGTAACTTCTCCATGTCTCAATAAATGGATAAATGAGTTGATGAGGCAAAAAAAACCCTCACCAGCTGGTGGTCAGCTCCATCAGTGCTGTGCCTCTTCAAACTTAGCTATCTGGTTCTCCAGTTGCCAAAGACAGCCTTGGCTTGGGCTTTTTTGGCTTTCGTCTTAAATAAACCAGGATGAGAAATTAGAATAGGACTTTTGTGGAAAATATATAGCACAAAGAAAATCATTTTGGATGACTAATAGCAGTCCAAGCAAAGGAAGAGATTTTTAGAGTAGTTAAGCCACTAACACAAATCAGAATTAGCTATTTTATTTAAGTAATTTATTAGTTAGATTATTTTTACTGAGAACACAGTGTTGTTGTTTTTTAAAAGTATACAATTGGACAGAGAAAAGGAAATGAAGCAAAACCCCAATAGATTAATCATGAAAATAAAGTAATCTGAAAACTTAGGAGAGATGCTAACTTGGTTGATACAAGTCAGTATACCGATATTCTCTGGTTTCTGCTCCTCTGATCACTCCTGCTAATGGTTCTCTTACCCTGTAGCCCAGCTCCCTGAATTTGTTCTAAAATGCTACTTCCAACCATCTGCAATGATTGTTAAAGTTGAAGCACAAGGCCACTTACGTCTGTTAGTACTGATTTCGGAGTAGTTTGACTCTTTCGGGTCAGTGTGAACATTTCTATTCCTGGTGGAATCTTCTCGATTGTTTCCATAACGCTCTTTCCATTCCTTGAAAAGAAACATACAACTGTAGCAAAAATAACTCACTGAAACAGATAAGAAAAATTAACTTAATTTTGTTTCATCAAAAGTATAATTAACTAAAATATATACACGTGGCATGAAAGGCATTCTGTCAGTCCACTGAGTTTTATGAAGTGCTTACTATGTGTCTAGTATTGGGGATACAAAGAAAGGTGAAAAACCATGTTTGCCCTCAAGGAACTTACCTTCTAGAAGGGGAAACAACAGATAAATATAAGATATATACAGAGAAGATGGACGGTAACTAGAGAAGTAGGCACTCGCAGCTGGGGGGACTAGGAAAAGTATCCTGTGGGTGGTGCTGAAGGAAGCCAGGAACTCCAAGAGAGGTCCTGAGGGGAAAGCATTTTGGGCACAAGATATAGCCAGTGCAAGGGCACAGATGGCTTGAATATAGAATATATGGAGAGAACTAAAGCATACAAAGACTAGAAAGCTAGGAAGGGACCAGGTTATGGAGAGCTTTCAATGCTAAACAAAGAGTTTTATTTTTAATGCCAGAGGAAACAGGGAGGCTAGAAGTTTACTGAGTACAGGGGTGACATGGCTAGACTTAAGGTTTAGGAAAATCACTTTGGCAGCTATTTAGGGAATGGACTGGAATGGGGGAGAGACCAGAGACAGGGATAACAATTAGATGGCCACTGCAATTGTCTAGGCGAGAGGTGATGTGAGCTAGAATTAAAGTGGTGGCTTTGTGAATTGAAAGAAGGGGATGATACAAGAGAGGCTGGGAAGGTAGAAACAACAAAACTGTGTGACTGATATGATATCAAAGATGAGAATAAGAAGTTAAGGATGACAATGAGTTTGTGAACTACCTTCCACATTCATAGGGAAGTCTGGGAGAGAGGAGGGTTTTATGGCAAAGATAACGGATTTAATTTTGGACATGTTCAGTTTGAGGTGCTTACAGGATGGGAGCTCAGAAGAGAATTGGGGTGGGGGAAGAGATATATACCTCTGGAAGTCATCAGCATAGAGGTGATAATGGAACTCATGGGAGTGATAAAATCGCCAAGTGAAAGAGTGGAGAAGAGAAAAGGGCCCAGGACAGAGCCTGGAGGGACACCCACTGTTATGAGGCGGGACACAGACGAAGATCTAGCAAAGGAGAGTGAAGAATCGTCCAACACATAGGAGAGGAAACCAGAAGCAAATAATATCATGAAAACTTGGAGAGAAGAAACAGGAGAAAGTAATTAACAATGTCAAAGGCTACAGAGAGGTCAAAGATGAGAACTGAGAAAAGGCCTGAAAACTGTAATAGTACAGCCAGTTCTCACTTAATCTAAGTGGACTGCTCTGAAGACCACCACCTCCCATCGTGGAGCTCCATGTGCCCCTGTCCCCTCCAAAGCTCCATGGCCCTGCAGCCAGGAGCTGGACTGTCTACCTGTGGCCTTGAGGCTGCAGGTTCCCCACCCCTGAAAGCTAAAGAGCAGGTGCTCTAAGTTTCAGAGGTAGAGAGACTTCACATACCAGGAATTCTCTGTACCAACGAAATAACATTGTTACCTCACTGATCTCTTCTCCCTTCCTTGCAAAGAACCAGCATACTGCCTTGAGCCTAAGAGCTACTCTAAATATGATTTGATTTGGTTTTAGTAAGTAAAAACAGTTTATACTTACAAAGTAAGATAGTTTTAAAAGTATTTCCCAACTAGAGTTGTATCAAACCATACAACTCCTATGTTTTCCAAAAAAATCAAGAAAATACAATACATACCACTTACTATGTTTACCTACTTTGGGTAAGAGACACTACTTAAAAACTAAATGAAAACTTAAGACTGATGAGGTAATGAAAGCAAAATAATTACCTTCTAATAACATTATTATGTAAATATCGACTATATTAAAATTATTTTCCCCAGGAAAACTATAGTGCTCTAGAAATACAAAATCACATGGCACTAATGAGAACAATCTTGTTCTGCAAAATAAACCTCTTTAACTTGAGTGCACTGATTAGAATCATATAATTTAAGTGAAAGAAGGCTTAGAGGTCATCTAATTCAACCTACAAATCAGCTCAGGGATAATTTCCACAGATTCCCTGAGAGCTTGGTATTTATCCTCTCGTTGTACATGACAAGAAACTTTATTACCTATGGAGACAGGCCATCCAATCACTGGCTAGGGCTGAAATTTGATTCTTTGAATTTTGTACCTGTATGTCCTAGTTCTCCCTCAACGATGCTTTGAGCATAGAGACAATTATCACTTTTCTCTAAGTCTTCTCTACACCAAACATACACCTTTAGGAAGTAGTAACTGTGACTGGGCAATACTAATGTCTTTTTCTATTTTAAGAAAAGTCTGGTTAAGCAAACAAATAATATAAAAAAATTTCAAATACATTTAGTGTGTAAGAAAGCATCAACTTTGTACAATGGTCAAAGCTACTCCTGTAACTATGTGTACATGTATACATACACCTGTATAGGTGTGTATACATAACTATGTTTATTTTAAATATTTTTAACGTAGGTTCAATAGCTCTACTACACAATAGCTTTTGTTAACCCTTTTACATGTACATGTAATTTTTAAAGACACATTTAATCATTTAAAAAAAAATCAATTTTTATTAATATGTACCATCCTTCCCACTTGGTCAAATTAACAAGATCTTACTGTGCTTTTCATTTAATACTTACTAAAACAGTCTAAAATATTATACTTACTCTTCTTCGATTTTCACCTTCTTCTTGCCTTTGCCTCTTTCTTTTCTCTAGAAAGAGAAAATTGTCAAGTTTAAAATAATGTAGTTTAGTTAGGATTAATTAAAGAATGTAAAGGTGTTAAAACTGTGGTTTAAATCTTCTTTTAAAGAAAGGACTACAAAATTCTTCACGGAATGTTACAGACCACTTAGTCCAACTTCCCACTCAATAGTGAATATCTTTTCTGACATCTATGACAAAAAGCCATCTGACCTCTGTTTACTTTTCCCTAGCAAGAGATTAAGTTACATTCTTCATAAGAGACAGAGACAATCCAACATAGTAGCCTGGTGTTAAATAACCCCATAATTTCAAATAGTGGAGCAAAGACTCTACTAACACAAATTATTGGAAAAATTGGAAAGCAGTTTGGCAGAAATAAAGTTTAGACTAACACCATTATCACAATTAATTATTTACCACAATAATCTCCAAATAGATACTCAACTTAAAAATAAAAGGCAAATAAAAAATTAATATACTTGTACAAGCAACTAAGGGAAAAATTCATAAACAAAAGACAGAGGTGATAAATAGACCATTTCAGTTGCCAGAGGAAAAAATTAAAATCAATACTATTACAACAAGAGTAGCCTTTGATTAGGGGTATTTTTCATAGAAAAACTCTCTGACAGAGAGAGGTCTGATGTACAAGACATACAGGAAACCAATAACAAATATATAAGTACAAGTGCTATTTCCTAATAGATGTTATTAAAGGATATGAACAAGGACTTTTCAAAAGCCCAACCTATCAAAAGCATCCAAAAGAACGTTCCAAATTGCTAATAAAAGAAATACAATTAACAACTTTGAAGTCTCATTTCACACTCAAAGATGACAAAATATACAAAAATGTTCAAGGCTAGGGGAAGACAGGCACATGAATGCAGTCAGTCAATAAACATTTAGTGCCTACTATGTGCCAGGCACTCTTAGGGATACAAAAAGAAGCAAAAGATAGTGCCTGCTCCCAAGGAACTCACAATCTAATAGGAGAGACAATAAGCAAATAAATATGGACAGACAACATACAGTATAAAAAGGAAATAATTAACAGATAAAAAGCACTAGAATTAAGAAGGATTAGGAAAGGCTTCCTGTAGAAAATGGGACAATAGAGAGCCACTATAGATTACTGCGTAGTGGGGAGTGACATGGTCAGACCTGTGCTTTAGGAAAATCAACTTAAGGCAGGCAGACCCAGCAGCAAGCTACTGCAATAGTCCAGATATGAGGGGATGTGGGCCTGTACTAGAGTGGCGGCAGTGTCAGAGGAAAAGTGGTGTATTTGAGAGATGCTGCAAAGGTGAAATCGACAGGCCTTGGCAACTGATTGGATATGGGAGAAGAGAGACAGTAAGGAACCGACAATGGCACCTAGGTTGTGAGAGCCTGAAGGACTGGTAGGATGATGGTACCTCTGACAGTAACAGAGAAGACTGGAGGCAGGGAGAGTTTCAGGAAAAAGATACCAAGTTCCATTTTGAATATGCTGAGCTTAACATTTCTTCTGGATATTCAATTAGAAACATCTAAAAGGCAGTAGGAGATGTGAGATTAGAGGTCAGCAAAAAGGTCAAGGCAAGAAAAGTAGATTTGGGAATTATCAGCATAGAGATTGTAATTAAATCCATGGGGGCTGATGAGATCAAGTGAAGTAGTATAGAGGCAGAAGAGGGCTCAGGAGAGCCCCTATGGGGCATATAAATTAGAGGGCATGATCTGAATAAGGATCCAGGAAAGGAGAGGTCAGATAGGTAGGGAGAAAACCAGGAGAGACTGGTGTCATGAAAAGAATATCAAAGAGAAAGGGGAGATCAACAGCATCAAAAGCTGCAGAGGAGTTGACGAGAATGAGGATTGAGGAAACAACCAATGGATTTGGCACTGGTAACTCTGGAGAGAGCAGTTTCAGTGGAATGATGAGGGTGGAAGCCAAATAGTAAGGGATTAAAAAGAGTGAGGAGAGAAGGTGGATGCATCTATTGTAGATGGTCTTTTTAAGGAGTTTAATCACAAAGGACAAAAAAACTATAGGGTTAACAGGCACTGGAGATGGAAAGATCAAGGTTTTTGAGGATAGAGGATACATGGACATGTTAGCAGCCAGAGGGGGCAATCTGTTGGAAGGAAATGGGATGGGATGAAATCGCTTGTGCAAGTAGAGACATTAGCCGTGGTAAGGAGTAAAGCCCCTTATCATGTAAGACAGGAGGTGAAAGCAAAGATAGTGGCAGAAAGCATCTGAGTGATAGATGAGGAAATTCATGGCAGATAGTCTCAATATTTTCCTGCAAAATATGAGGCAAGGTTCTCAACTAAGTGGGTCAGGGGAGAGGGAGCCATGGGAGATCTGAGGAAGGATGAAAAGGTTTGGAAGAGTGGCTGTGGAGAGTGGGGGACAATGAGTTGATGAGGAAGGTATATTAGGATTGCCCAGCAGTAATAAGGGCCCAATTGAGATTGTATAACATAGATTTGTAGTGGATCCAATCAGAATAGTTGTGTGATTCCTTTTGCCTTTGTTCAGCAGCACATGTGTAGGACAGTATACAGCTGAATTGGTTTGCCAAGGGTCAAGGTGGAGAAAAGAGGGGAGAGTGGTTAGTACAAGAGAGATGGCATGAGAGACAACTAAGGGGCTGAGGGGTTAAAGGTCACAGTGTGAATGAAGAACATGGTTTTGTAAGGGAAGGCAGAGGAAGAGGTGGAAAGCCAATACATTTTGGTCACATATGGGGCTTTCAGAATTCTTGAACACAGAAATAGTGCATTTGTGGGTGATAGCATGATCAAGGCTATGAATCACCTGTGTATGGCTAAGGTAGGGGAAAGGAGGTCATGGTAAGTAGGCTGAAGAAGTAAATGGTTAGGGTACTTGAGGGAGAGTTAATATGTATGCCAAAATCCCCAAGTATGAAGGCAAGAGCTGAGGAGGACACAAGGTACTGAAGATACTGCACTCATGTGAGCCAGGTACTGAACTCATTAAAAAAGGAAGGGGAATGACCTTGTGGTCTCTAAAAACAACCACTAGGATTTTGACCGAGTAGTAGATATGAATTTCATGAACCTCAAAGGACGAGAGGTTGCTGAGTGATGGAGGTAAGGGGAGAACCTGGAATTGGCAAAGGAAAGCAAGGCATATTTCTATTACTCCAGTGAGCCAGGGGTAATGAATAAAAGTGTACTCAGTACTGGAAAGAGGTACCAGGGAATTTGTTGTCAGAGAGGAGTCAGGTTTTAGTAACAGCTAGAAGATGGAAGGAATAGGTGAAGAAATGACGTAGGATGAAAGGTAGCTTGTTTTCTATGAAACAAACTATACAGGGGGCATAGTGGAAGGAGTGGATAGCATTTGATTGGACTTTGGGGTATAAGGGTTGAGGGAATGGGAATAAGGAATTGGGAGGTAAGGGATAGGAAATGGGGTTTGGATGATGACCTAAAGGGATGCTGAGGGTATCACCAGGGTTAGAATATTCATTATTGTGTGGGAGGCGCCACTCCTCTTCCCAGAAGAGGACAGAGATCAGGCTAGAGGCAGGGCAGATGATCGTAACGCCTCTTCTTCTGAAAGCTGGATTTTGGGCAGGGAAATGCTCAGAAGAAGATGGCAGCGAAATCTGGACACAGCAAGGAATGGACGTCCTAGACCCCCCTGACTTTCCTCTTCTTCCCACAAGGCACAGGAAAAGTAAGAGATGGAAGGTCAAAGGGAAGGTTGTTCCACTCTGCACTGGGGGTCTCCATATCCTGGCTGAGAGATCAGGCTGGACAGCAGGAAGAGGAAGTATATGAGTATCTCTGCTGGTCTCTAGCAGCCTTCCCTCAGGGGACAGGAGAAGCAGGAAATGGGCTTTGGCAGAATACTCCGGAGACCCTACAGAATCTCCCTAAAGACTTCTTTTCATTTTCTTGTTTGTAGCTTTTACTTACTTCTGAGAACGCTTCTCAATGTCTGTGAATATTTTGTGTGTGTGTGGGGGGGGGGGGGGGGGTATCCCAAAAGCTATAGTGCAGTTTTAAGTTTTAATACCTTAATGCCACGTACATAACAGTGATTTGCAGACCTTAAAGTACTACATAAACAGTATTGTCCTATATAAATGTGAACTATCATTGCTTTAACAGTTAATGTTTGTAATGAATGTTTGTTAAAGTTGATTAGGCACTGAAACAAAACATTCTGACAAAAAAGATTTACTGAATAGTTAAAATGAAAAGTGTGCCCCCAATTCACCTCTTAGGATCTATTCAATCCTACATTACCAAAAGCTTATCTAATGTAAAAACAAAAAGACATATTCAACTAGAACAGATGAATGTTTGTTCCCAGTAACTTATGCTATAGTATTTCTTATAGACAAATTTGTAATGTAGCATTTTTGTGTTAAGAGATATGCTTTTTAAAAAATGTGTAAAATTGAGTGCTTGGAACATTATACTCTCTACTCCTCTATCATATATGTTAAAGGATGAGTACAGCTTTTAGTAAATACAACCAAATACATTCATGCATAATATCAAATTTTGAATAAGATAATGACTAAAAGTTACACATCCACTCTATACAAGAAATTTCAATTTCTGACTTGTCATAGTATTTTTCTTTTGCTTATTTTAAATATAAATCTTACCTCGCCTAATTAGCTCTTTTCCTTCATCAACTAAGTCAGATGTCATATCATTATCTCCCATGAACTGCTGAAAACCTAGCAGATTCAGACAACGTGTTCCTAAACTAGAAAAAAGGGGGAAGGGAAAAAATAATAAAGCAGATTAAATTTATACTACAGCATAATTACATCTTAATGGAGGTTGGGCTTTAAAGTTATTAAATAAGGCCAAAAGGAAAATCTCCTGTAGTCAAAAATACCCTTGAAAAAATTTAAAATTATCCGGAGTTGGGAAGAGGCTAAGGAGGCAGTCTACATCAAGAGCAAATGCATCTGAAGTGGTTAGATGAGTTAAGATTTCTATTCAAATAATTGAATGTAAATTTTATTTTTCTCTATATCCAGCTAAGCTATTGATAAGGAATACAACTCAAGACTTCTGAAATAGAAGAAAAAGCTCCTGAAAGGGCTTCAGACATAAATGCAATTACATTGTTTATTGCTCATGATTCACCAAGAGATAAAAACAGACACAAGGGACCAACAAAGATCCTTCCTCTTTAGCCAAACCAAAATAAATAGCATGAATGTAGGTATAATGAAAATGAGATCCTAGAATCATACTCATTACGTGTGATATCCATACTATGAGAGGCAAGGAGAACTGAAAGCCCAAGAAATATCTCATCCAAGTATTTTAATAAATCCTCCACTGAGACGCTATACAGCCAATACACTGGAACACAAAAAATACTGACCCAGGAGTCAGATAAGTGTCACTTACTATCTATGAGATAATGGGTCAGAATCACTTTATCTCTTTGGGACTCAGTTTCATCATTTGTAAAATGAAAGGATAAAACTAGATAACTAAGGTCCCTTCCAATTCTAAATACATAACCCTATGATTCCAAAAGGAGTAAGAACCATTCATTAAATACAAGCAATTTCTGTATTTCTGTAAAAACCAAACATGAGGTCAGTAATTCAATTATAGAATGCACTAGGGTTCAGATAACAAGAATATTTGAACTATACAAATATTTTGTTTTCTTATTTCTTTTGAGAGAGCTAAAGATAATAATCTATTTTAAAATCTTACATTTACTTGTAATATCCACAAAGCCTCCAACACTGATGTAGCATTTTGCTTTCAAAATAGTTGTACCATTTCACAGATCCACCAACAATGTATCAGTGTGCCTATCCTTCCACAACACCTACAACTATTGCCATTTTTTGCCATTTCTGCCAATTTTGAGGATGTGAGGTGAAACCCAAGCATTGTTTTGATGTGCATTTCTCTTATTATTAGTGATTTGTAGCATTCTTTCATGTGCTTGTGAATATTCTGTTGTTCTTCTTTTGAGAACTTCTAGCCACTATCTATTGGGGAATGGCTATATCTACAGATCCATATCTTATCTCTATATAATGTTGCTATATCTCAGATACCAAACCCTTATCTGAGAAATTTATACAAACTATTTTACCCATATAACTACTTCTTTAACCTAGATACATTAATGCTGTCTGTGCAGAAATTTTTCAGTTTCAAGTAATTAAAGTTATTTATTTAATCTTCGGTAATTGCCTCTATGCCTTCTTGGGTAAAGAATACAACTCCTATCCAAAACTGTGAGAGGTTTCTCTTCTAATTTCTGTTTTTCTAACTTCTAATAATGTTTTTCTTTTAAATTTTTTCATAGTAAGATCACAATACTGAAGTTGTGTATGTATTTAGAATTTATTGTGGAATATGATATAGGATCAAGCAGGGCTACAACCATACACCCTTCCCCCCTGTTATGCCAGGCAGGTTCTTTTCAACAATAGATCTGGTTGGTTATTGTCATCTGTGCTTGAAGAGGACCAAAATGACATCACTATGACATCAAAGTAGATTTCTTAACTGGCAAGAAAGTGGGTACCCAGCTTAAGGTGAGGACATAAGGAAGAAAATTAATGCTCATGCCGTAAGTTTCTTACCTAAAATAAGTCGCAATACAGAGAATAACAACCAACATAGGATAATAAATATAGAATCCATCAGCAATAAAAGATAGTACTTTCATGGAACCCATAATCTGAAATAGAAGAAAATAATAAATTTAGTTTGATTTTTTTCCCCATTACATTAAAATAAAAACATTGTATTGATTATCAGCCAAATTAAATAAATTAAAATTGCCTTTTCAATAGGAAGAAACAAATCATTAGGACCACAAATTTAGAGTAAGAAGGAACTCAGAGGTAATCAAATTCCAACTTCCTCTGTGAAATCCAGAGAAGTTAGGCAACTTGCCTAATGTTACACAGGCAGTTAAGAGGCAGAACTGGGATTTAAATTCAAGTCCTTTGACCCCACATTCAGAGTTCTTTTCATGACACTAAGTTTCATCCTTAGTTTGAATATCTAAACTTATATTACCCTTTCAAATATGGCTTATCAAATATTTATAGCAATGTCAATATCAGCTGTAAAATAACTGTATAGCAGACTATTAAAAAACACTATTTTCAGATAATCTGAACACTAGACCTGTTAGCACGGCAAATAAGAAAATCAAGCAAGATTGTAGGTGGAGTTGTTTTATGAGTAAGTCTTCTAGGTATCATTTAAACTAAGATATTTAAGGAGAGAAGGCATCTATCATATAACTTTACTGGCATGTGGCAGGCTAGCTGCAAAACAGATGTTTTGGGGAATTTCTGGATTAGGAGTGAGATTTAGTAAGACTGGAGAGGATTATAGTTATCTCTGCATTTCCTGTTTGTGTGAATGCTTTTCTGTTATAACGATCTAGTGAGAAGGCACTGTAGTGCCTGTGTAGTGACTGTAGTGCGTAGGTATTTGCTACATCTTGCATACTGTGACTATACTTCCTACTAGCCTGGTATCTTATCTACATCAGCCTTATGGGCCTGTCATTTATGAGACTGCAACTCAGATGCAGTGAGAGGTTTCCGATTCTGAGATAGCACTCAGAAACTCCTTCCCACCCCCTAAGGAGTGACTCCAAGGGGTAACAAAAACAATTAAAAATACAAACAGGATGTTTCGCTATTCAGTGTTAGACTACTTGCTTCAGAGATCAAATATCTAAATTAACAAACAAATTAAATCAAAATATTAAAATTAAAATCTATTTTATGATTAAAAAATTTAATCACTTGCTAAGAATTATCAATTACGTAAACTTAAAGAAAATGTAATTAAAATTAGAACCAAGAAACCACAAGGATAAGCCTCTGTATCACTGACTGCACAAGACATAAATTTTAGTATATTTCCTCATGCAAACCATTATTCAAGTGACCTTCCTGAATGTTATATTACAGTTCTTTTGATTGAATTTGTAGTAATATATATACCATTTACTTACTGATGTATAAGCGGTTGGTTGAGTATCCTGGTGAGAGATTGTTGAATCCATGTGTGTCAAGCCCAAAAAATTTAGACACAAAGGGGGAGTCAAACGACAGAATAACCTGTAGCAATAGAGGGCGTTTAAACAAAGTATATACATACTAAATTATTCTTTTTTTTTTTTTTTTTTGGCTAGGCAATGGGGTTAAGTGACTTGCCCAGGGTCACACAGCTAGTAAGTGTTATGTGTCTGAGGTCGAATTTGAACTGAGATCCTCCTGAATCCAGGGCCGGTGCTCTATCCACCACGCCATCGAGCTGCCCCAATATACATACGAAATTCTTAAAAATAGAATCACTTGAAAAATATTTTACTGAGAAAATTTTCTACCAACAAGACATGATTTTAATGACTGTATTTATTTTGGATTTTGAACATCAGCTGCCCTTATTTATCTAAGGATCATCTGGAAAAAGTTAGTAGTCATAACTTTCAAAGACTACCTGCTTTTGCTATCGCTTCTATTGCTATGCAGGGGTGGGGGTGGGACACTGTAGAGAGTGAGCACTGGCTTCAGGAATGTAACCTTGTACCCTCTGATTCTCCAGACTGTACTTGCTCTCGGCAGCATGGCACCAGCAGAAATACATTCATAGATCACTCGTGTTGAATGCACAAAAACTATTGTGGTAATTTTTTTTAAATCAGAGAACAAAATATAGATACACAGTATTACCATAGCATCCAGTTATGTGTAGATCAAGAGAGAAATGTTATCAGTTCCCCAGTTCTGATCCCTCTGTCTTCTTTCTGAAGTCTAACCCTTTCCTAATCCCCATCTTCTCCTGTATATCTAGGAAATCGCAGCTAATATAAATTTAAAGGGGGCAAAGATTTTAGAGTTCATCTAGTTCAATTTCCTACCCCACGCAGATATTTCTCCTGTTTGACAAGTAATCACTTGGTCTTTCCTTCAACACTGTAAAGTGATGGGAAATCTACCATCTCCCAAATCACACCATTCCACTGGGGGATTACTGTTTTTAGTTTCCATCTATTTCTAGGTGTAGTTCAAGGTAAAGACCTTAGAATCCTCAACTTAAGTCAATGAATATTTATTGAACACTAACAATACTGATTTTCTGGTCCCTGAGACAACAGGTCATTCTAATTAGTACCTCAATTCAGACTTAACTGTACCTCAGACAGTGATCTGACATTTTTGTACTGCACATCTAAACTTGTCTCCAACTTCTAGAGCAGTTACCATCACTGACTTATCAATAAGAATTTCTCCTACCAACTAATCCATCCTCATACTAACCCAGTTATTTGCAGGGTGTCCAAAGCAATAACATATGTATATTCAAGAATATGTATAGTGGAGAGATTTTTGTGGCAATTTTTAATCACCATGTACTTACATGCCACTAAAGAGAAGACTGTAAGCATCAGTCTGGTGATGTGATGCTAAATAATAGTAGTTAAATACACGGATCCTGAAGACAGTAGAATAAACACAGATACTTAAGAAGAAGATGGAAAGAAAACATGCAATCTGAAAGCAAAGGAAAAATTGTTATATTTATTAACTGACTTACACAATCACAAAAGTAAGTTTTGCCTAATTGTCTTCAAGAAATGTACTCTGCAGGAGGTTTCATAATGGTTTTCGTTGGGAAGAACTATGTCAAAACAAAATGTCAATAAAAAACATGAACTTAATATAACATTTTATATACTATACAATAAACATTATATGCATATATATCACCCATAAATTAGATTAAAAGTATTCTAAATAGCATTATTATAGATCTGAAAACCAGTACAGAACTATCACTAAGAAATTAAAATTATGAAGGGAATACATTTTGATTAGGTCAATATCTATTTGTAACCATAAAGCTTCGCATTTAGCCACCAAAGCAAGTGAAGGTTCCTATTTCCTTGGCGACTCCTCATATAAATATGAGGTCAAACTGTGGAAAAACTTAAGTAAATTTAGTAAATATCTTATGCTCTCTGCGTACTACCTATGATTACTGTATATTACGTATAACTTATTCTCAAATAACATATTAGAAGCTTCCTTGCCTTTCAACTATTACTTGATGAAAGGGAGAATAAATGAAATAAAAAAAATTATTCAAGAGATAGCACAGCTACTGTGAGGAAAGTGCTTTGCAAACCTTAAAGTGCTACATAAATTAGTTACTATTATATATTGATATGCATTGGTGTATGACAGACCAAAGCCAAACTGACCTCAATATATATATAATTGTATGTTCTTTCTGCTAGTTGTATGAAGACTGCAAATAGGGATAAGACAGGTTTAGTGCTAAAGAATGTGCATTCTGACCACACGACAATCACGGAGAAGACGGCCAAAACAACAGCAAGTATCCTGTAAAACCAGGGCCTCAACAGACATTCCCAGTACCATTCTGGAAAACAAAAAAATTAAAAGGTTAAAAAAGCTCATAAAAAGAAAAAGGAAATGACAATTTCACTTGAATTGTTTTTGAGCTCAGATAAAATGCTTTATCACATGGGCCATAAAGATTATAGACGGACAGAGCAAGAAGGCAGAGCTCTCTTCACTTGCCACAGGCTACAGAAAAACACAGCCACAGCCCACCCTGGCATCAAGGATAGCTAAGTATTCCAAGAATACTTCCCTAGTTGGAGAGTTAACTGTGGCAAAAAAGAAAGGATGACTAGCAACTCAGTTTGTGAGGAAAAGGGAAATCTCCTCCTTCCCACCCAAAAAATCAAAGGTGAGAAGGCTTGGATTTTATGAATCCTGTATTCACATGATCTTAAGAATTTATAAAGTTTCATGTGATAGTGTAAATGATACGTAGAAAATAATATAGCATATGAAACTAAAATGTTACTGAAATGTATTTATCACTAGATAGATGACTAGACTAGACTGTCATTATAGACAACATAAGACAGCAAGACCTGAGTTTGTTCTGGATATTAATTCTGCAGATTTAAGGCTGTACATGACAAGGAAAAATCTATTTAAGTTTACACCATTTGGTTAAATAGCTAAAACTCAAGAAACTATAGGTAAGAGAAAATTATTTTCTGATCAGTTTTGATTCCCATTTCCCAAACCATCTGACAGCATCCTAAAATTTATTTTTAAGCAGCTAATACTAAAATTCATTTCTCAGAGATGACGATATTTATGTATGTGCAATAGTGGGATTGGCAGGGGGCTGGGTGGGGAAGGGGCATACACAGTGGCAAGAACAGAGAACATTACGTATGAAGATTGGAATGTATGGATAAAATAAGACAAATGGGTAAGCGGCATCTTGGCATGTCCCAGAATTATATCAAACTGAAAAAGGTTAAGCACTGTGTACTTTACAGGCCTAGGATAAGAACAAAAAATGCTCCAAACTGGTAGAATCAATCGTTTCAAGTTTTAATTATTGAAACTATAGCTAATATGGATCAAAGGAAAAGTCTGGAGTACTTGCATATACAGAGTTAAATATATAATGCAGAATTATGAGGATGACTACATTAAACGAAGAATACTATAGTACTCGTGAGGTTTTTTTTTGGCTTATGACTGATAACTACTAGCACAACATAAATGGAAATAAATGTCAAATAGAAATAATTAAATTATATACATAATTGGGAATAATATATGCATAAGAACAAGAAAAAAGGGAGTTAACATCAATTACTTTTGAAATTTACAGTTTAGCACATACCAACTGTGGGGGTATAGAAATACTGGATGAATCTGTTTTCTGGCTCTCGTGGTTGAAAAGTATGAACAAACTGGCGGGTAGCACTAGTTTCATTTTTTGCCACATCTTCAAGATAAAATGCTTGTTCCAAAAGAATTCGCCACTGAACTTGTGTACGACGGTGCCTCTGAACTGAATAAATGACCTACGTGAGAGAACATGGAGTAATCAGTTAAATATAAGCCACTTTAACAATAAGGAATGTTTCATACAAAAATTGTTAGAAAGATTATTAAAAAAACTGATGGTGTATGAAGATAGATTACAGATGGTATCTATGCAAATCTTACAGAATAATGTGTAACCAGTGAAATGGACAAAAGACAAGCATAATCAAATCAAGCTTATGACTCACACTTAACTAAAAATTCTACATTTGTGGGCAATAGCTACAATCTTTAATAAATGAAATGGTTAAAATATGTTTTTACCTGTTTATGAAGTTTAACCAAACTTTTCTCACTTGGGTAAGTATTATGTTTTTCATCAAAGTCTTCATAGTCATCCATGTTCCTACCCATTTTTTCTTGGTATTCTGTAGGACACTATTAGGAATACATACATATTTTAAAATGAGAACTTTTGCATACATAGAATATAAGTTTTTCTATTTAATGAAACTAACTTCATTTTCCATCATATCTAACTCTCAAAGCTTTTGCTTCCTGATTGGTATTTTGAATTCAATTCAAAAACATCAAACTTTTATTATGTACTTATTTTGTATAAGACACTATGCTAAGTATTGAGGATATATGGGGGAAAAGGTGTTAGTTTCTGCTTTTGAGTTCCCCATTTATTCTACTGTTGAAGGATTTGACAGGTAGGTGATTAAGTATAAGACATGGTTGAGAGAATGGGAACAAAGGAGAAATATTCAAAATAAAGAAAATCTGGGGAAAAAAAAGAATACTTTTAGCTAGTGAGGGGCAAGAGAGATTCAGGGAGATTTCATGGAGGACACAGGTACCTGCAGTGAGTCTTGAAAGAAGACAGAGATTATGAAATAAGGAGAAAGTGCATTCCAAGTACTGTGGAGGATTTGTACAAATGAATGGAAACAAGAGGTAATGGACAAAATTCACGAAACAGTAAGTAGTCCAATTTGAAACACCGAGTATGTGAAGGGGAATATAATAAGCAGGACTAGAAAGACAGACTGGTGTCAAAGTGTATCCTAAAAGCTAGGTTTAAATGTTTTACACTATTAGAATAGGAAGTCACTGCAGTTTTTTGAACAGTAGAATGACAGTCTTAAGAAGAATGTATGTTAGGAAGAATGGAAAGGAAAAGAGTGAAAGCAAGGACACCATTACAAAAGTCAAAGCGGGGATACGGACCTGAAATAGGGTGATGGCAGGTGAGTAGAAAAAAAAGAATTTATGGGAGCAATATTGTTGAGGCAGAATCAACAGTACTTGGCAAATGATTGGGGTAGAACAGGAAAAGTGAAGAATGAAAGATGAGTGATGTTTCGAACCCAAGTGTTAAAAGTCCAGGAGAAGGAGAGATGATTAGTAGTTTAGGGACATGCTGAATTCAAAGTGTCAGCAGAACACCCAGGCAGAGATGACCAACAGACAGTTAGAGATGACTTCAGGAGACCAATAAGGTCCAGATATATAGATCTAAGAGTTGTCTTTATAGAAAAGCAAATAAGCAGAATGGGAATAGACAAGATCCCTAAGACAGAGAGTGAAGAGAGAAGAAGACTTGGGACAAAGACCCATATAGGACCTACACAACAGCTAAGGAAACTGGAAGTCCAAAGGGGTTAAAGTAACAAGCCCAAAGGCACAGAGGCAGAGCAGATTTGAACCCAGCTTCTGTGACTCCAAATCCAATGTTAATAATGAAGAAGACATGGAAAAACAGGGAAGGTTTGCAGGGTTCACGGAAAACTTTTTAAGGGACCAAAGACCCAAGCATGTCTGCAGACATTGGGGAAGTAACAAATTACGGAAGGAACAAACAAATAAGGAGTGAATAAAGATGGAAAGAAGAGAGGAGTGATGATGGGCATGTGTCTGAAGGAGAGAAGAGCTTAGACTCTGGGGCACAAGGAAAGGTACTGGTCCCTTGGCAGAGACAAAGGTCACCTCTTCCTCTGGGGCTGAAACAAAGCAGAGGATAGGTGGAGACATAAAGAGGTTTTGGTGGGCAACCGAAGAAAAAAGGAGATGATCTCAAAATGCAGATCAATAAAAAAGAAGCACAAGTCTACTAAGAAAGGGAGGAACCCAAGAAGCGGCTGCTATGGGATGTATAATCAATAATCAATCAAAAACGAATACAAGGACTGGGAAAGGCCTCCCACAGAAGGTGGGATTTTAGTTGAATCTTAAAGAAGATATGGAAGCTAAGAGGCAGTGGTAATGGGGCCAAGCCTTCCAGGGGTGAAGCACAGGCAGTGTAAAGGCACAGAGACGGAGATGCTAGGGTATGGCTGAGGAAGAACACACAAGCCAGTGTAGAAGACATGTAGGAAAGTGTTAAGAAGACAGAGGTGAGAGGAATGACAAGCACTTTTCTAAAGGCTAGAGTTTTAATGTTTAAGAACTAGTAAAATTATTGAAAAGAGAAAAAGATCCCACTACATTCTACTCTCAGAATACTTGCTGGTCTAAATTTATTTCTCAAACACACGATTAACACCACAATTATGATCTTCACATATTTGTTTCTAAGTTTGGAGATTTTTAGAACTCCTTATTAAGAAAGCTAGTAGTGATAGGGTTCTAAAGAGTAAGCACATGATGAATTCATTAATAACTTTAAAATTTAGGCAGATGCGGGGGGGCAGCTAGGTGGCACAGTGGATAGAGCATCAGCCCTGGAGTCAGGAGAACCTGAGTTCAAATCTGATCTCAGACCAGACACTTGACATTTACTAGCTGTGTGACTCTGGGCAAGTCATTTAACCCCAATTGCCTCCGCCCCACCCCACCCCCGGGCAATAAATAAATGAAAAATTTAGGCATATGGAAAAACCTAACACATTAATTATTTAATCATGAGCATCCAAGGTATACTAACTTTTAATGGTTCACTTCAAACAATAATAGAATAATGTAGAAGGTACTTAACAGATCAATTAATCCATCAAGTTAAGTAACCACGGAGAGGTGTTCAACAGAACTGACAGAAACACTGGAGGCTTAAGATACTGATTAAAAAAAGAAAATGGCTAGAGTTAAGCCATGTGACCATCTTTTATCCTTACCAAAGTCAACATAACTGTACAGGTAGCAAGACAGAGAGCTTAGAATATGGAGGAGAAAAGGGAGCATGTCCCTAAATAAGTATACTGAAGATACATTTAGTAAATCAGATAATTCAATTTTTAGAACTACTTGGATATACCTGCTCACAATACTGAAGCATCAAAGTACTCCTTGCCATTCTTTCATTCATTTCATGCTGTATGTTGTGCAAACACTAAAGGGGGAGCTAAATTGTCAAACATAATTAGTTGTATTTTTTTTTAAAGCGAGATATACTTTAATAACCACATATAAGAGCATTGTGATGGGCACAAGAAACAACTGCTACTCACACGTAGCAGGGCACATTCACTATCATTTTGGCTGTGGCACCTCCTCTACTGTTTACTATATAGTAATGTGAAAATGTTTTGTGTAAAGCATATTATAACAAAAGAACAAATTCCATGTGGAAACAACTAAAAAGAAATCCAATTAAGCTAAATTTTTTCCACAGTTATGAAAAGAAAAAGGATATACTTTTTATGTTCTCCAGCTACCTACAGTTAAGGTTGGCTATCTAAAAACCTCAATCATGGCATTAAAAACAAATTTTTGAAAAATCTTGGAAAAGGTTATAGAGTTATATAAAGTTACAACTACTTTCAAGTGTTATGAAGAATCTTAAAATCTGTACCATTAAGAAAGTACATAAAATGGTATCTAGGACGTAATAGCCACTTAATTACCTTTTTTAATATCGTATCAACACATTTTCTCAAAGGGTGGTTATACTTTATGCTTTCATTCACTTTTCGAACCTCCTGTAAAACAAGAAAAATCCAAATGTTTCTGTAAACTTCAAAGGCAGATAAAGGACAGATGATATAGATGCAAATTACTTTCCATGTTCAAATATCTTAATTTTTTTCTATTACCATGCTTGTTTTGGACACTATGCTTTGAAGTCTAAGTTTGCATCAGCTTTTTGTAAGACAATAGGAAAAATTCCTTTCAATAAATATCATTACTATTTAAAAAGCCAGACCAAAATGAAAACCCACAAGATTTAATATGCAAGCCTCTTAACTTAGAAGTTCATATTTTATATTTATTGTCTTCCATATCATGATCGAGTATGAGCTCAGAAAAGCTTGTAATTGCCACAACTAGTACACAAAGACAAATATACAATTAAAAAAAGCTATACAGCACAACAGGAAACCTTTGAAATACCTCTATTCTCAATGCTGAACTATGTTCCCTAATGGAGTAAATGCAGCAAAACCCTCCCATTACCTGGTCAATTATTAGGTAACTTGAAATATCCAGAATATGTCTAAGAATACTATAAGAAGCATGTTGTTCTTTTTTGAAATCTGATCTGTAAAAACAAAGTTTGTGTACTAAAGTGCATGTATCTGACTAACAGGAGAAGACTGATCAAAATTGTCTAGAAAAGTTTTGAAAGATTAGGTTGTTTCAGCACAGGAAACAAAATACTTTTGTGTTTTAGTATTAACTGATAACTGACAGTTTTGCCTGGTAAATAGTATGAACTACTTCTACTAAGCATACTAAGAAAATTTATGATCGCATTTAGTGACAGCAGGACACCGCCCCTTCTTAACCCATTTTTCTTGCCTGCAAACCTATAATAGCTATAGATCATGTCACAAGCCACATGACAAATACTCAACTATCTTCTAAAAATAATACGATCCTGTTTAAAAGTATCATTTTTACCAGCATGTTTTTAGAAATGGAAAATTAGCAAAAGCATTACTTAGTATGTTTCAGAAGGCATAACTTCCTAAGATGAAGCATAATTTCCTCAACTTCAGTAAGTTCTACCTCCATTCTAATTCATTCACCTACCAGGATAGTCATGTCCTGTATCTTAATACCATTTGAAACTTCTCCTCCTCCTCCAAAATCCTGCACTGTTAGGGGAATTCCAATTTCTTGTCCTTCTACCTCTCCCACTCTGTAAAATTTTCCTTCCCCTTTCCCCCCAGCTTGCTCACCATTATATTAATCTATGACCTCAGTTCTGTCCTCACTTTCTTCCTTATAAAGCCTTGACCCTACGATCCTCCACTTCCAGAATGCCTTTTTATCCTGGAATCCCCTGCCTGCTTGCCCTCTCACCATTTCTTCCAATCTTCAAACCAACATAATATTTTAGCACCCTAGACAATATCATGAAACTAAGCTAACTAGGACCACGAAAAATGTATGTTATCTAATCTCACAAGTAGACCTTTACCAGTGTATGACAACACTCTCAGATCTTTGTTACAAGTTTTTTTTTTTTGTTTGATTGTTTTTTCCAGTGGAGGGGAGAAGAGTAGGAGAGAGGAAAAAAGTTTGAGAACTGTAAAAATAAATAAATAGATAGATAAATAAAATTTAAAGAAAGAGCAGTCTATATTTGCTCCCTATACTACCTCAAAACCTCTTATAATCTAGGAACCAAACCCCAGCAGTCTACTGAAACAGTAATCTCCAATATTCCTCATGAGCTCCTTATCATTGAATCCAATGACCTTTTTCCGCCTCTGCTTATCTTCCTTGGACTCTGTACAAACAGCACTCACTGTGCACTAACCTCTTCTTCTTAATATCCTTCTCTCCCTTAACTTTCTGGCCAATGCACCTCCTGGTTCTCTTCCTATGATTCTGACTATTCCTTTTCTGACTCTTTTGCTGGCTCCTCATCTTTTTCCCATTCTTAAGTGTTACCATCTTGTCCTTCATTTCATCCCCTTCCTCTGGGATCTTCCCATGCTTCAAGCACCACTTCTTTGCAGAGTCCGCTCAAGTCTATATTTCTATCCCCAACCATTCTCCAGAGCTCCAATTTCACATTTTCCATTTGTCTGCTGGACAGCTTTACTTTGGAGCCCTGATGGCACTTCAAAACTATCTTGTCCAAAACGGAATTCATCTTGAAAACCCACTCTTCCCCATGAACTTTTATACTTCTGTTGGTGTTCTCCCCACACCTGGTCTCATTAGCTGCGTCATCTCTGGTCCTTCCTTTACCGCTGGCTCACATATCTGAGCAACTGACAAGTCCCACTGATTCTACCTCCAATACAGTCACTCTAATTCAGGCCTACCTGCAGAAGACGGGAGGGAGAGTGAATACACTGAATGAAAAAATTAGAATCCAAAAGGATCTCAATTGTGTGAAACATGGGCCAGATCTCAACAAGATGCTGCTTAATAGGAAATAAAAGTGAACTCTTTCACTTTACTCTGAGCTTCTATCTATAATGTCACTAGTGTAGCTATACCATTCCACATTCCTACTGATATTTTCTCATGAATTTTACAAAAAGGTTCAATCAAAAAAAATCTGTTTTGTTCATGAAGTTCTATTTTTTAGAATCAAAAAATTCAGCTGGAAAAATTGAAGATAGATAAGAATATGACTTAATAGCAACTCAGATGGAAAATGCATAGGATTTAACTTGACAGTTAAGCTTTTTAGGAGTTGAGGTAGTAGAAAAAGCACTGAATCCAAGCCCAGGATATACTGCCTGTAGAATCTTGAGTAAATTTACCTGAGTCTCCTCATCTATAAAATGTGGAGTTTGTTTTGGGTTGAGTCATAAGGTCCTTTTCAACTTGAAAGCCAATTTACAGTGTATAATACAGCTGCCACAAAAGTTAATGCAAACCGAGGCTTCAAGTATAGTGTTTTTAGCAAGAAAAGTAAGACAACAGTCATGTTGGTCAAACCATAACTGAAGTTACCGTATTTTAAGAGCGACAATGGAAAATTAGGTACACAGAGGATGTCAGGAAGTTTCAAAGTATGCCATTATCATATGCCATATTGAGTCAGGGAATTGGAGATGCTAAGACTGAAAACACAGTAGGGAACATGATAGCTGTCTTCATATATTTTATCTATATTTATCTCTCTATCTATTTACACATGAAAGGCCATCATGCATAAGATAGCACTAGGCTTAAGAGAATTTGCTGTGCCTAACTATGAATATTGTGCAGGGTTTTTTTTTCCCCCAATGGGGGGATGGGAAGGGATAAAAATTAATTTTTGTTCATTGAAAAAAATTAAATTTGTTAAAAAAAATGCTTTTAATGACAAGGCCCTAGTCTCTTACCCTTCCCCCTCCAAAAAAAGAAAGATGGCATTAGGTTTACCGTTAATCTCCAGAAGGCAATGGACAATATATTACAAAGTCACATTTCTGCTTGATATAGAGATTAAGTTCTCAACAACTGAATCCATACAAAAAGGAAAGGAAAAGGCTACCTTGCAAAGCAGTGTTCCCCTTGCTACTGGAAGTGCTTAAGCAAGAAATGAGGTGACAACCAGCCAATTATGTTTTAAAAGGAAATTCTTGTACTAGAAAGGGGTTGGACAGGAGGACAATAATACTTCTCACACCTATACAGTCTTCTTTACGCCTACCACAAACATCCGAGTTCAGGGTCTCATCTCTTCTTGACTACACTGTTCTAATATCTTTCTCTCCAGTTCTTAGCCTGATAGTAAGACACTGCCTACTCTTCTAGTCTTAGCTCCCAGTATTCCACAACAAGAATCCACCTCTGAGCTATGTTTAAGCCATTTCTTCTGCCTATGATACCACTGTCTCTACACCTACCCATTCTAATTCATCTTTCAAAACACAGCTCAAATATCACCTTCTTCACCTCTTCCCTAGGCACCACAGTTGAAAATGATCCCTGTTTTTTTGTATTCCTAGAGCATTTCTATAAAACAATGACTATTTAACACTTGCATATACCACACATCTCCTTTTCAGGAGGTGGGGTCTGTGTCTTGTCCATCTTTGTATCTGGAGCACAGTGAGCAGTCACTCAAATATCTTTTGTATGTAGAATTTATATCTTCTATAATCTTCAAGGATGATTTACATATGTATCTGGAAAGCTTTATAAGATATTGATTTCTTTTTATAAACATACTCTGGAAGATATACAAACCTGAACAATACAAAGTTGAATGTTTTGATGATTCTGTGACCTATAGGGATCAGTTCTCCCTATATTCACTGGTGCAGACTGCAAACCATATCTGTTTTCTCATCCAGTGTGATTCTTATTCATGTTCTGCTGTAGAGCCAAACTAAAAGATCTATCCAATGTATTGGAGGTCTTCTCTTTATTTTAATATTTCATGTGCATCAACTGGGCTATCCATCTGTTATCCTTCATTCTTATTAAATGAATAGGTCTACCTTCTTATCTGGCCATGTCTAGTCATTTTATTCCTTCCCTAAGATGCTACAGCCTATTCAAACCCCTTATTATCTTTCCATTGTCTAATAGGGTTTGTATTGAGATCACTTTAAGAAATAGCAGATGAGTATCTTTCTCTTAAGTCATCCTTCATACAAGTGTCAAAGCAATCTTCCTAAGGTAAATGGTCTCACCTGGTTGCTCTCCTGCTCAAAAACTCCTAAGTAGCTCTCTACTCTCCATCACAAACTCCTTAGGTTGGTGATTAAGGCCCTCACTGACATGTATCCAAATTCCTATTCCAGTTCTCATTTCTTTCACATTGGTACCCTCCACATTTTCTATGTTCTAGAGAAACTGGAGTACTCACTGTTTCCTACATTTGAGATTCCATGTCCATCCTAAATGCATAAGCTCAAGCTATCCCAAAGCCTGGAATATATTTCCTCCTCAGCTCTGCCCTTCAGCATTCCATCAGTCTTAGCCTCCCCGTAAGCTGAGATTACAGACATATATAATCATGCCAAGCCATCAACTACATTCTCCAGTGTTTCCATCACCCTTTACCTTCCAATAGAGCCATCTCTTCTAACAACGAATAATAAAGGCGAGGGGTAGGGACTTTGGGAAAATGGGCACATTGATGCACTACAGTTGGAGCTGTAGTCATTCTTGAAAATGATCTGGAACTCTGCCTCTAAAGTCACTAAACTGTGTATACCCTTTGGCCCAATGAGTAATACTACCAGGCCTATAACCCAAAGACATCAAAGAAAGAGGAAAAGGACCTACATGTACAAAAATATAAGGAGTCTTTTGGTAGTGGCAAATAACTGGAAATTAAGGAGGGTATGCAACATTTGAGAAGTGGCAGATGAATGAGATGGTTTCAAAGAAACATGAGCAGATTTGTAAAAACTGAGCAGAGTGAAGTGAGCAGAACCAGAGTAGTTTTATAAAAACACCCAGGAAAGACTTAAGAACTCTGATCTATTCAGTGACCAGCCATAACTCCAGAGAACAAATGATGAAACATGCTCTCTTGAGAGAGAGGTGATGGATTCAGGATGCAGAATGAAACACACAGTTTTGGACATGGTCAATGTTGGAATTTGTTTTGCTAGACTATGCATGCTTGTAGCCTCCCCCTCTCCCAGTATTTGGGAGGAGAGGTAGGAAGCATACAAATTAATATTAGCTAAAATAAAGTAAAATAAAAGTTAAAAAATATACAAGAAATATATGGGCTGGAACACTCAATGACTTTACCTTAATTATTTAATATCTCTCAGATTTCTGTGAGGAGCAAGTATGGCAAGTGTTCTGTAAATCTTAAAGCACTACATGAATATCATTATTTTCATAATTATCTACCAAGACAGCTCTGGGCAAATCATCTTAAAAATGTTTTTGACATGAATTTTTTTTCTGTACCTATTTCTTAACCTCTGAACTATAAGATTGAGATTTCCACTCAAGAGAATTTATTAGCTGTGGTACCTCATGAGATTTAGTGGCCAACATGAACATACAGCTAGAGGGCAGGGACAAGGTATCTTAGAGGATTACCTACTGCCTAATTTTCAGAGTCCTAAGCCCACCAGCATATTAGTTTCTTTATATAAAGTGACATAGAGGGGCAGCTGGGTGGCACAGTGGATACAGCACTGGCCCTGGAGTCATGAGGACCTGAGTTCAAATGCGGCCTCAGACACATAACACTTATTAGCTGTGTGACCGTGGGCAAGTCATTTAACCCCATTGCCTAGCAAAAAAAAAAGAAAGAAAGAAAGAAAGAGTGACATATTACAGGCAATTTTCTCAACGTTTCCATGGGTAGAAATGCTTCAATTCAATGCTAATTCAAGAATATCTACTTACTTCCATTATATCCTCTAAATTCTCTTCGGCATCTGCTTTCTCAGTCATCAGTTTGGCAGCCTTGAAATATGTCTTCATGAGTAGGTACCCTCTCTTAGCTCCATTCCAATGGGACCGAGGAATTTCCACCAAGCCATACCCCAACAATAAAACAAGGAGAAACAGGCCCCATGTATTGGCAGCAGCTATTCCAATTGTCTGAAGCTGATTCCTAAGGAGAAGAAATCATGATCAAATAATTATTTCTACAATTTCACTACTCGACTATGACAGATGACTGAATGAATATATATTTGAATACTACCTAAGATAGAACTTGCTCCCTCCTTCAAGAGAGTTCTTTATTTTAGACTGCTCTAATTATTGAAAGTATTTTTTTAACACTGAACCAAAATACTATTTGTCTTAGATCCATCCTCTGAGGCCAAACAGAATGATATTTTTTCATTTTACTTGCTTTATTTTTGGCAACAAGGCTAATATGAAAATATGTTTTACATGACTTCACACTATATAACTGGTATCAAATTGCTTATCATATCTCAATGGATTACAGAAGGGCAGGAAGAAAAGAATTTGGAACTCAAAATTTTAAAATGAATGCTAAAAAAAAGAAAGATAAGCAATACAAACAACCAAATTTCTCTTATCTAATCTCAAGTGGACTCTTGCTGCAGGAAAGTATTAGTTCTACTCCTCCATAATCCATCCATTATTCCACTTTCTATACTGGCTGTTTCAAACCCTGTCTCTATTCAAGCTTTCCACAGCAGCTTTGCCTTTAACCCCGTCTACTGAGGACCTGTCTTCATACTTCATTGAAAAAAATTTGAGGTCACCTGCCATGAGATCTCACTCCTCCCCTTCTCCTTTCCCATTGCTCAGACGTCTTCCCCCACTATCTCCTCTTTTTCTTCACTTTCAGATAAAGAGGCGGCTCTTATACTTAACAAGGTCTACCTTCTACATACACCTTCTTAAAGATTGCTCCCCACACTCTCTCTTATCTTCAATCTCTCTTTATCTCTTGGTCCTTCCCTGATGCCTACAAATATAATCCTGTCTCATCCATTCTCAAAAAGCCTCAATCCTACGATCTCAGGTTATTATCCTCTCTCTTCCCCTTCTTGGTTAACTGAACTCCATGAGAAAGTCACCTATTTTTAGGAGCCTCTACTTCCTTTCCTCTCAATCTCTTCTAAATCCTCTGCACTGTGGTTCCCAAAATCATTGTTCAAATGAATGGACACATCTATTTTGGACAAATTAGACTGAAGAACTTTTATAACATCAAAACATATTTGCAAATGAATACTAATGTGATTTAAATATAAAGTACTTAAATCAAAATACTAGGAAAAAAAACCAGGAAAACGAATTTGATAATTTTAAAAGCACAGTTAATAGTATGTGCATTGAACAAATCAAAACAACTCTGAGGTACCACATCACACCTATCAGATTGTCTAGCATCACAAAACAGGAAACTGATAAATGTTGGAGAAGATGTGGGAAAATTGGAACACTAATACGTTGTTGGTGGAGTTGTGAAACGATCCAACCATTTTGGAGAGCAATTTGGAACTATGCTCAAAGGGCTATAAAAATGTGCATACCCTCTGACCCAGCAATAACACTTCTAGGTCTGTATCCCAAAGAGATCATATAAATGGGAAATGCACCTACATGTACAAAAATATTTATAGCAGCTCTTTTTGTGGTGGCAAAGAATTGGAAATTGAGAGGATGCCGATCAACTGGGGAATGGCTGAACAAGTTGTGGTATAAGAATGGAATGGAATACTATTTTGCTATAAGAAATGATGAACAGGAAGACTTCAGAAAAACCTGGAAAGACTTGTATGGCCTGGTGCTGAGTGAAGTGAGCAGAACCAGGAAAGCACTGTACACAATAACAGCCACGTTGTGCGATGACTAATATTGGCAGACTTAACCCTTCTCAGCAATGCAAGGATCTAAGACAACTCCAAAAGTCTCATGATGGAAAATGCTATCCACATGCAGAGAAAAAACTATGGAGTTTGAATGCAGATCGAAGCATGCTATTTGCTCGTTAATTTTCTTCTGTTTTGTTTTATTTCTTCTTTTTTGTGGTTTCTCCCATTGGTTCTAATTTTTCTTTACAACATGACTAATGTGAAAATAGGTTTAATAGGAATTTATATGTAGAGCCTATATCAGATTGCACACTGTCTTGGGGAGGGAGGTGAGGAAGGAGGGTGAGAAAATTTATAACTCAAAAGCTTATGTACATGATTGCTGAAAACTAAAAATAAATTAATTTATTTTTAAAAAAAATAGTATGTGCAGTCAGACTGAATGTATATTTTTAATTAACAACACAGTCTATATGAATCATTGATAAGCACAATTTTGCATTTTATTCTATGAAATCTGTATTTATCTAATGCATAAAACACAAGGAAGTTTTGAAAAACAAAACAAAACACCAACCTAGGAAGATTTTCATTTCTTTTCTTAATAGCGATGTTCTTACCATTCTAAGTGCAAATTTGGATTTACAGCCACATAAATTAAAAATGCTCCAAAAATCAGCAAATAGGTGCCATAATAAATTGCATTCTCAATCAGTGCTGTTTTGATCTTTCCAGTAATGGAAAATCCTCCTGATCTTGCATATGATTGCATAAAAGGTAACAGGATCCTAAAATAAGAAGGGGGGAAAAAGCAAAACGTACAAAACTGCTTAATTTCATCTACTTAATATTTTTGTTTACCACTTACCATAAACAAATACGTATCATATTCTCAAATTAAGAGTTTAAAAGCATACCTAGATGGGTTTGTACCCTTGTCTCTGCCAATACTAGCTCTATGATCTTGGGCAAGCCAGTTAAGTTCTCTTGAGTCTTGGTTTCCTCATTTTTAAATATGCAAAATACCTATCTAGCCTCACAGCTCATATCTGGAGACCAAGTAAGATTAATTGAATGCAAATGTAATGTGATTGATTGAAAATGACAAAGTACCATGCAAATGTAAGGTATTATTAAATGTGAAAAAGAGCAAAGAAAACTGAGAAAGCATAATTATAGTGGCCAATGGGATGTTGTTTTTGGAAAAAATATACTCAGCTCAATATATTCAAAGTCTCATTTTTATCATTATTTTTAATTAATAGCAGATATGTAATTTTCCTTATGCTCACATACTAATCTGTATTTCAATACATTTAATGTCTTAGAAGTAATATAATCCCTCTCATAAAGTACTATTTTACCAATAAATGCTATACATAAGGAAAGGCAATGTAGCATAATACATAGAGATTCAGAATTGGAGTTTGGATGATCTGGATCTAGTTCTGCCTCTGATACATACTGGTTTGTGACCATGGGCAAGGGACTCAACTTCTTATCCCCTCAGTAACTTTTCCAAGACTTTTAAGTCACATAACTGAGTTGCATATCTGTATTAGCAGAAGGAGTTTACACACTGGGAGTTCCCCACACCAGCAAAGTCATAGATCTGGCACTCCAAAAAGAAAAATTGAGACACTTTTGGATCCTAGGATGGAGTAGCAGCTACAAAGTTATCGTCATTATACTAAAAAATAATAAATTGGCACATACATTAAAGAAAATACCTAATAAAGAAATAACTTCTGCCATGCCATTAACACTTGGCTAAATCCTAAACAGAGAAATCTTATTGAAAACTGGGGAGGGAAGAGGAAGACAAAAGTACAAACATTCATCACCTACCATGTTAAAAATTGTGATGTCCAATATACAACACGCCAGAAAATTGGCATTATTCCATCAGGGATATAGCTCCATGGCTTGAAACACGGATGTTTTCTGTTTTAATAACACCCCCCCGCGGCCCAAGCAAAATATTTAGTAACAGCTCACAACTTAACAAGTCTTAAATTCATTTTCTGTTAATAAAAATTGAATTTTCTACAATTTCTAAATTCTATTGCAATAACATTTCAGTCTCGTTTTAAATCATTCCTGTAACACATTAATTTTACATTCAGTTGACAGTGGCTGCACGCTGACTGAAAACTGCACATCAACAAAGCACTTTGTTCTAGCAAAGAATACAGTTTCAACTTGAAGTGCCTGTTTTACTTTAATATTAACTTTTGGAAAGATACTTTTGAAAATTATTACTTACAAACTTTTAAAAAGAGCTTCACAAAATCAGAATACTAAGGGAAATGGTGCAGTAGCTGTAAAATGTTGAGATTCAGGCACTTTTTAATAAACAAAACTATAAAAAAATACACAGATACATAGCCAGATACATCTTTAGAATATCTGAAGAAGTAAAAATCAATATACATTACTGTTTCATTTGGAAGTTTTCTGGAAATTTAACTAATTTTGTTAAAACTACTTGAAAAATTATAAAAAATTGTTAAATTTATTTTTAAAATTACAAAACTTTAAAAAAATTTGTTAAAATTAAAAATACTCTGGTTCACTCTGAAATTTTGCATTTATTCCACTGCTTTTGAATCTATTACCCTCACTTTGACAGGTGTTCAGTGCAAGAGGAATAATCAGTCTACTGAGAGAACAAGTTCCTAATGCCAAAACAAAGTGTTGCATACTCAAATATTTTTTGCTTCAGTTGTCCATACTCTTAAACATAAAAAATATATGCCTATTTATGGAGAAAAATAACTTTTAATATGAAAAAAGTTACTTAGATGAAACTTATGGTAATGATTTAAAAGGATAAGCCAATTTTAGATTTTAAAAACAAAAGTATTACCCTGTAACAGGAACGGCTGCAGAGTAAGATCCGGTTACGTTGTTATTTTCCAAAGGGCTAGAGTTGGTAGCTTGTTTACATCGGTTATATATTGTCTAAAATGTTGAAAATATATTTGTCAAAAATGAGGACAGGTTATATATATCTGATCATATTTTAAAAAGTAATCAGATTCATTAAATATTCCATTAAAAATTAAAACTTATATAAAACATTACCAAATTGAGCTGTTTTTCTTTTTTATATGTACATCTTGAATAGATTTGTTAAAACACACAAAAAAATTCAGACACAAAAAAATGTGAACTCTTACCGTACTAACATCCAGGGGCAAGATGAAGACTATGAGAAAGCAGAGATACCAAGCAAGTAGTGTTGCTACAATAACAAGTCTATGCTGTTTCTTAAAGTCTCCATATCGATGAAGTATTAATAAAGCCAGAAAAAAGACAAAAACAATCTCAAGTCCCAAAGCTGCACCGCTCATTATTGTGTGCTCATTCCAGCCAACCAAGGCTATTCATCTGAAGATAATGATCATAACTGTAAAAAGAAGGGGGGAAAAGGAGCAACAATAGCATATGAAACATTATTCTTAAGAAAAAGTTACCAGATCTTACTTTTAAAAACATTTAGAAATGTTTTTATTATTTTCATTCTTAAGCATATTAATCCAAAAGAGAGCCCAGCACCCTTTCTGATAGAACTGAGACCTTTACTGTTTTAAAACCTAAAATTCACTTCAATGTGTGTTAACTCATGAAAATTCAAGATAGCATCATTGATTACTTCAATAAACCAATTCCATCTAAACTCCAATGTTGAATTACAAACCTCAGCATAAAATGAAAAGTGTCTAACCTATACTTGATGGATCACCAATTACTTTTTCCTCTCAGCTACTACATTCTAATCCCAATCCCTAGAGTATTTGGGTTGTTCCCTATCCACTTGGGTTGGATTACTTTAAAAATACAAAAAAAAAAATAACATCTGGTATTAAAGATTTGGCAAAGTACTTTACATGCATTATCTCATTTAAACCTCACAGGAAGCTTATAAGGTAGGTAATAACTAACTTTATTTTTTGAAGGCAGCACGGTACAGTGGAAAGAATATTTGATTTGAGAGCAAAAGAGCCCTGGGTTTGAATCCTATCTCCCATACTTATACTGTGGCCTCTGGTAAATCACTTAAGATCTCTGAATTTCAGTTTTCTCATCAGTAAAACAGTATTACAAATAACATCTGTAGTACCTATCGCTACAAAAGGGTTGTTGTGAGGATCAAAGGAGATAAAGCATTGTAGACTTTAAAATATTATGTAAAATCAGGTATTATTAAAAACATGCCATATAGTATATGACCAAGAGCCATTACCAAAAAGATGCATGAGCAAAGGAAAGTTTTCAAAAAAGCTACAAATTATTAACAACCATATGAAAAGTTATTCCAGGTCACCAAAAAAACACTTAGCAAATGAGGAAAGATGATAAATGACAGAATAGCCTATGTGAGGGGTTATAAAATGCCAGGAAGACTGTCAGGAACGCCAGGGGTTGTGGAATGCCAGGAATACTGTCGGGGGAGCGGTGCATTGGTTCAGCCATTCTAAAAATTGATTTGGAATTATGCTAAGAAAGTGACTAGAAGTTCCATACCCTCTGACCTAGAGATTCCATTGCTGAACATATACCCTAAAAGTTCAATAAAAGAAACATTCCATATTTACAAAGACATTTTACAGTAGCACTTATATAAGACTGTCTAATTGTAATGATTAATTATGATTCTAGATAAAAAGATGAGGAAATGTACCTCCTTACTTTCCTATAGGTCCAAACTATCCATTGGCAGACACTACAAAGAAAGATTCAGTGGGTGGTGGCGGTGGGGAAAGGGGGTAGGAGGGAGAGAATCAAATTCAGAACTGATTATAGTAAAGAGAGAAGGCATGAATAAAACTTGAATTTAAAAACCGTAAATCAATCCTCATCTTATAAATACCATTTGACTATAATATTAGGCAATCAAGTATTTTTCAAAATAGATGCAAATCATAAATACTTCCTACTGAATGAAGAATGCTTCAGCTTTTCTTAACTTGGTTCTGCCATGGTCTAGTCTTACCACCTTTAAACTTACCACCTGTTAAAATGCATCATTTACATTATGTTTGGGGTAAAGATCAGTCAGGTACTGAACTCCTTGAGAAAAAAAAATGGCTTATGATCCAGAAGCTAGTATACAACAGCAAGAATGATATGGGACAAGGTAATAAGAGGAATCTACCCAACCTCAACGAGTGAGATGCTACCGAGAATTGGCAGCAGAGAGGTCTTTAAGCACTATTGGAGAACAAAGAGAATAATGATGACTGCTGGCTCAATGTGTTAGGGAGTGGCTAGCACTGGAAAGGGTGGCAAGGAGTGAATTATCTTCTAGAAGGTCAGTTTTCTGTAAATAACAAAATGCAAAGTGAGAGACGAAAAGATCTAGGATGAGGGAGAATTGATACTGGGAAATAAATTCAGGGTTCTTGAGGGTATGGTGGAAAGGGAGAACAGAGGAGATTGATGACTGGGGAAGGGGTAGAGTTGAACTGGACAGAGATGAAAAGCAGTAGGTCAAAGAGGTCTTCTCTGCTGACAGAAACTCTGAATCAGAGGGACTGAGGAACCAGAAATAGAAATTTGTTAGCTATTCATAGGCCAGGGTAAATTGATCAGAGCACTTGGCTGATAAGTAATTAGCTGAGAAGGTCAAGTACTGAAAGATGCCAATAATCACTTGTCTATCCCTCTCCATCACAATCCTTGTAAGGGCCTATGAGGGAGTTAGAAGATGACTGGTAATAGCTGTCAGAATGTATGGTATGAAAGAGACCTCCTTCTGTAAGAGTTAGCCTCTTTACTCTTGTGCACCACACCTCGACTGTCCTACATGGCTAAGGCAGTAGCAGTGGTGGAAAGGACAACTGGCATTCTTCTCTCCTCTATGACTATGGCCTTTACCTCCTGCATTATGTACGGAAGGAGGAAAGGAGAGTTACTGGTTACATAGTTTCCGTCACCAGGGAAGACAGAGTAGGGGCCATCGCCATAGCTGGTGAACGTATTTGGGAAATCTAAGTGAATGAATTATCTAATACCTGCTGACCCACAGCAAAGGCAGCTACTTCACTATTCCATCTCTCTCTACCACAACCCCTGTGAAAAGTTGGGAACTGGGCAGGAGTGCTTCCTCTTTCCTAAAGAACAGTGACCCTACCAACAATCCTTTGTAATTTCTTCCAGGGGCCTGGTTCTTCTTTGGGTCACAGAAGCCATTCCCTCCCATTCAATGTTTTCCTCTTGGGCAAGGGCAGAATCCTCAAGATAGTAGAACTCAGTTATTTTAAAGAGAGTATTCTCTAAACTCTCAAAGTACAAGAGAATGGGAGATTCTGCTGGGGGTGGGTGGAGGGAGGTGAGGATTTCCTGGGTCATATGGCCAAAGCCATATTCCTGACCAAATCCATGAAATTCTCCAAGGTTTGCTCAACTTTCACCACTACACTCTGAACAATGAAGAAAGCTATACAAGGTGGAGTTTGATTCTAACAAATTCACTATTTCCAACAACAGGAATGTCACAAAGATAAATCCTCCTCAAACAGTAAAGGAAAAATAATTGACACAAAGAAAGTAGGTACAGACAAGTCCTCGCACGAGAATTTGGGGTAACTGGCAACCCTCAGGAGAGGATAAGAGCAGAAAATTGTTTGACTAAATGATCCCTGAGCAGCTAAGTGGTGCAGTAGATAAAGTGCTGGACCTCGAGTCACGAAGACTCATTTTCCTGAGTTCAAGTCCAGCCTCAGACACTTAACTACCTGTGTGACCCTGGGCAAGACATTTAATCCTCTTTTGCCTCAGTTCTTCATCTGCAAAATGAGCTGAAAAAGGAAATGGCAACTCACGCCAGTATCTTTGACAAGAAAACCCCAAATGGGGTCACGAAGAGTTGGATATGACTGAAACAACTAAATAACAACAACAACAACACTCCCTATGATTCTTTTGCTCCTTTAACATTCTATAAGCCTATGGATAGAGAAAGGAACACACCCAGAAAGAGGAGTCAGATTTACCATCCATAAATAAGTGTGTTTCATGATGGAGCACAGGTCACATTCTCTAACTGTATTTTTTTTTTAATTTTTGAAGGAAAATCATATGAAAAGGTCTTCTATTTAAAGAGACCTAAATCAAGCCTTTAGAAAATTTTAATTTGTGTATATAAACTTTATTCAGCTATGGAATGCTGGCTGGGCCAAAATTAAAGGGAAAATGGGTAATTATCTGGGTTAAGACTATGAAACAGATAATTCAGATCCCCTTTTAGATCTTTCAGATCTCTTTTAGATCTGAATTACTTAGCTGGACATGTACATGATCTAAAGTAGTCAAACAATCCTTTTACAGACCTTAAACATTGCTAATCATCTAATAACTATTTCTGATACATTCTGATACATATCGGCCTCCTAAGAGGAAATATCACTCTCTATAACCAAGTTTCCCTTTGACTATTATGATCTTATAAAGAATATTACATTAAATCGAATCAAATTATAAGATAAAGGAAAAAATTACTTGAAGAATGAAAAATATGGGACGACCCATTATCAGTAAGTGAGGTCTATAATTGGTATAATTTCTTTAAAAAAAAAAACCAAGAACAAAAACTACCTTGATCACTTATGATCCTTTTACTCAACACTTCATTTACAAACATCAAAAAAAGGCCTTCTCTGCATTCAATTTCTTCACTTTTTTTCCATCAATCTCTCCATTTTTTTATTCTTAAAATAAAAAGGCAATTATATTCTTTTGGTATACTATATATTTACTCAAATTATTTTTACTTGCTCATCACAACAATCTCTAGCATGTTTTACACAATACCTACAAAATGAGAAAGTAATTAAATGTTTGATTTTTATGAACTTCATGTAATTACTTATCCAAATTTGAAGCTTCATATTCTGAACAGTTGGTCCTGTTATTGGTATTCTTCAACTTATATCATCCTAACGGTCACTTTAACAGCTCACCAAATTTATCTGATATTCCAATCTTCCATCAGCATCAATTCTTCCCAAACATTTGCTATTCAATGTAAGAGGCTGAAATTCAACACAATTATTATTATTATGCTGACCAATTAAAAGCTAGGGTCTATTTTCTTGTCTGATACTCTATCTGAACTAGGAAGTTGACAGATAAATTGGAACTGAAAATTATAATGACTAGTAAACAGTATTAAATTTTTGGCTTTCACTATTACATGAGAAAAATTCATAAGCAACAGCTCTGAAAATGAAGAAATGGCTAAAGAAACATTATGTCCACATGCTTGGCTATCCTTTTCACCAGAAAGCACCAAAACAGAAGCATCAAACTCACAGCAGGCAAAACTCTGGAAAGGAGATGTAACCAAAATAAAATGCAATTGAAAAATGTTTAACAAAATAAAAACATGATACAACATAAGTAATG